AGAGAGAGAGAGAGAGAGAGAGAGAGAGAGAGAGAGAGAGAGAGAGTGTTAATCGTTTTATAAATGTTCCAGGGAGCTGGGGAGATAGTTTAGTTGGTACAGTGCTTGCTAGGCAAGGACGGGGACCTGAGTGTGAGCAGCTGTATAACAGCTGGATGCATGTGTGTAATCCGAGTGCTGCCCTGGGGAGGGGGAGACGGGATGCTGAGGGATGCTGGAGAACTGGCCTACAAGAACTGGGAAGATGGAGGTTCAGTGAGAAAACCTGTCATATCAACAAAGAAGGGGGAGAGAGATTAAGGACGATCCCAGTGTGGAATACTGCCCTCTGCACAACCATGCATGCATACACCACACAATCACACACGCACATACACATACCTTTTTCAGATGTTATCTAAATTACCAAGTTTTTCAGTAGGAAAAATAGAAATATTCTACATTTTAGTAGTAAACTTCTACTGTTAAGTGGATGGTTGAGGAGAGGCAGAGTATTGATTGGTTTTTGTTTTGTTTTTGAGTTTTTTTTTTTTTTTAAGGTGGGCCATTCTATATAGCATCTATACAACATAAAACATTCATGCTTGGAACTTCCATAAAAAGATAAATCATGAAATTAGGTCATAAGCCATAAAACCACGTGACAATGGGCAGGGAGTGTACCTCAGAAATAGAAGGCTTGTCTAGTATCCACAAGGCTTTGGGTTTAATCCGAAGCATCTCAAAACAAACAGAGAGCAAACAAACAAAAACCTAGAGGCCCAAACAGACATCATTTGTAATCCCTAGACCACACAGGCTTAATTGAACTTAAGACACTAAGTAGATAAATGCAATATGTTATGTATCAGTTAGCTCCCAGCTGTGGTAAATAAAGCTGGGGATAAAAAGATGATCCCCAAGAACCCCAAAACACAAATATCTTTAATTGTAACTGTATTTATTTCAATATATGTAGGAAAATAATACATTGTATTGCTGTTTAGCACAGAGCTAAATTTAAATATAGTTAGGTTACTGAAGTAAAAATATTTTAAAAAAATAGTATATTGAAACTTTAACCATGGCTGAAAGTGCTGTAAACAGTCCCCCAAAGAGTAATGCTCAGGAAATACGACCACAGCTAATTCGCCAGCATCTCTGCCACATTTAAAGTGTGCTTTGAGCATCATAAGGCTGAAATTAAGGACATCATGTAAGGAAAGTGTGGTCCTTTCGTTTGCCAGTCATGGCCTTTTAGATGGTGTCACCAGGGAAAGCAGTGTTCCACAAGGCTTTCCTTTTCATACTTGACTGTTCTAGTCTGTAGTGTATTGATCCAACCAGTGGGTATTTATCAGGTATCTACTGTGCGTAGTGCTCTAACATGGGTAATTCTGAGGAATATGAACACCTTTTTGAATTACCCCATTGTCTTTCTTTTAAAAAAAAAAAATGGATGAGGGGATGCTGGAGAGATGGCTCTGTGGTTAAGTGCACTGGCTGCTCTTCCAGTTCAATTCCCAGCAACCCAGGTTCAATTCCCAGCAACCACATGGTGGCTCACATCCATGTGCAACCCTAGTTCCAGGGGATCCAATACCTTCTTCCAGCTTCTGTGGGTACCAAACATGTGGTGTACAGATGTACATGGAGGCAGAACACCTATATATAAATTCCACCAAAGCCTATAATCCCCCAGGGGCAGTGACACTATTTGCTGGTGCTTCATTTGAGACTGTACTTTTTCAGGATGCAATAAATTGCCACCTTTAAGGGAAAACTACTAAACGTTTTTGCTGCGGAAGTGTGATGGAACTCACATTTTAGACAGATTCTAGTAGCACTGGAAATTATGGTTTTAAGAAACAAGAGGGCTGGGTGTAGTGGCACACGCCTTTAACTGGCACTTGAGAGAGGCAGGTGGATCTCTGTGAGTTCGAGGCCAGCCTAGTCTACAGAGTTCCAGAACAGCCAGAGCTACATAGTGAATCCCCGTCTTGGGGGAGGTGGGGCAGGGGTAGGAGAGGCTAAAGGTTAGACCATGGAAACATGATGAAATTTGCAAGGGACCCCTGTAGTGTGAACAAGCCAAGTGAATGTCAAAGTCCCCACTACATGGCACCAGAGTCTGGAAGAAAGAAATCATGGGAGATGTCTTAGAAACCTTGTGTAGCCTCCAAGATTGAGTCGGGAGCCCGGGAAAAACAGGTTCCATGAGAAAATAGAATTTCACTAAGGAAATGTTGACTTCAAAGCACCAAAGAGGCTTCCAAATGTTCCAACTGGACAGACATTGCTGGGGCTGGAGAGATGGCTCAGCAGTTAAGAGCACTGGCTGCTCTTCCAGAGGACCTGGGTTCAACTCCCAGCACCCACATGGCAGCTCACACTTGTGTATAACTCCAGTTTCCAGGGCTTCTGAAACCTCACACAGACATACAAGCAGGCAAAACACCTGAACATAAAGTTAAAAAAATAATTAAAAAATTTTAAGTTAGAAATTTTTTTTAAATTTAAAGAAAAAAATGTTCTGAAATTCCAGCGTGCAAATTATTAACCTAAGTGAATCCTTACCAATGTGTTAACTCAGGAAAATATTTAAAACTGAGGAAACAATTCAGACTCAACTTTAAATGACTTCCTCCTTTTAGAGATAATTGAGAGTCTGAAACTGTGACCTTTTCAAGACAAAAAGAAGCAGGACTCCAGAAACCAACTGAAAAATTTAGTTAATAATTCGAATCTGTAATTTGACCTATCCACAATCTTTACAATTTCATTTTTCTCTTCTGGAATTCGAGTGCCTTCTCAGGTTTCCTCATATTTTCAGAGTTCTTCCATTTCTTCAAATGTCTCAAACCAACATCTTTCTGTTGTGTCCATAGCTGCAACTGCTGTTTCTAAAGTACGACACCTTCTTCCAGCCGTCTGCACCTCACCGGACGCCTAGTGTTCAGGGACTTTCAAATGTGACTTTTTAAACAGACAAGAGCAATACTTTTTTCCCCCAAAGCATGAGGTGATGGGGTTTCTTTTTTTATTATTTCTTCGTATGTTTGCCTGCACATGAGTCTGTGCATCACATGCACCTGCTGTGCACAGAGGCCACTGGGTGTCAGAGGCCCTGGAAATGGAGTTACAGATGGTTTTGAGCTGTCATGTGGGTGCTGGGAATCGAACCTAAGTCCTCTGGAAGAGCAGCCAGGGCTCTTAACTGCTGAGCCATGTCTCCAGCCCCCTGATGAGAGTTCTTTAAAGACAGGTTTTAGTTGGGAGTAGGGGCACACACCTTTAATTTTAGCACATGGGAGGCAGAGGCATATTGGTGAGTTCGGGGCAGGTATAGGTAGGTAGGTGGGCATGCAAGAGGTACCTAGACATTGTCTCTGACACACCGTTTTATTTAGGCCTGCAAGGAGGCTCAGTAGGGAGCGGCACTTGAAGCCAAGCTGCTGGAACTCACAACGTGGAAAGAGAGGGAGGCAACTCCAAGGTTACCACTGATCTCCACATGAGTGCTATGATACGCACGCACTGGAACACACATTCAATCCTAAATGGAATGTCTTTACTCACCCCTACTCAAGGCTCAGAGATCTAGGCAGAAAGATTCTAATTACTGCAGGTGGTGGGTGAATCCAAGGAACCAGCATTTTCCAGACCCAAAACAGCTGACGGATAGAGACTAAGACAAGCCTGTACAGGTTCAAGCCAGACAAAATCCCAGCACAAAGAAAGAGAAGTAGGCACCAAGTTCCACCCCTAAGCAAGAAGCTACTTGCAACTGATAACTGCTGGGAGAGGGAAACATTCAGTTTTCTTTACCTGGAGTGATACTGGGTATCGCAACTACACTCTAGGGCAGTCTTCATGCTCAAGTTAGTCAACAGAAAACAAACTCCAGGACTGTTGCGCATGTGTGCTTTTTATTTATTTAAGAAGTTGGGAAAGGGAGAGAATCTATCAAAATACATGGAAAACTAGATTAACTTTTCAGATGCCTGACAACATTGGTCTGGGGTCACTTTTAACTAAATGATTGTTTTTAAGGTTTTTCTAGCTGTCAAGTTGGCATGTGTTTTAACTGCAAGAGCGTGAAAAGCACGTTATGATTATGACTCCCTATATCATGGTGTGGGTATATGTACAGATAAGCTTTTCTTCAAGAAACCAGAGGAGTAGGTTTTGCTCTCTCACCCTGGGAGTCTCCGTGGCCTTCTGCAGACCTATCAGGCTCTCCAGTTGGGGGGCGGCTTGGAAGTTGCTTTGTTCCTAAATCCATAAATGCAAAATAAATGATACTCAGGTTAACTCATGTTTGTCCACGGCACTTGAATGCGAAAGCAGGAAAGGGAGTCCTCCATTGTTCATTCTCTGACCTTCAAGTTCTTTGTTTTATTATCTAATGGGTGCATTTTTTTAAAAAATTCAAAAACATATTTTCCTGGCATTTTCAGTTGTTTTCCATCAGATCCGTTAAGCCTGGCATCTAACCTGCTACTGTTGCAGGGGAGATTTAATTAAATTGTTGAGTAATTGCTTACATGGTTTCTTTAAATAATGTGTTTTGCCAGAGTATTTAAAGAGTTGCTTTACAGGTTATTAATTTAACTGCTTACAGTCTAGCAGCAAAACAATAAACTAAATTATTTGGAACCATAAGAGTTGAGAAAAAAAATCCAATCTCCCCACGGCCAACCTAGTGCAATTACTGCTGCTAGAATCCCAGTCCATTCTTCGGCAGGCTTTCACCTGGATTGTCAAAACAGCCTAACTGTATAATCTCTGCTTTTAGCTTTGCTGCTTTGCATATCCAACCCAGAAGCCAGAGGCTGTGGTCTGATTTAGGTATGTTAAATCATACCACCTCGCAGTAAACCTCCTAAGGCTTCCCATGCCATGGTGAGAAGAAACACTCCTGCCTAGGGCCTTCACATACTGTTCCTTGGCCTTGATGCTATCTCTTCTTCTTCTTTTTCAGAGCTGAGGACAGAACCCAGGGCTTTGTGCTTGCTAGGCAAACGCTCTACCACTGAGCTAAAGCCCCAACCCCGGTGCTATCTCTTCTTATTTAGCTCTGTTCCAAATCCCCCATTCAGGGCTTGTTCAAATGTCATCTTCTCAAGGAGACCTACTCCAGCTGTTTAAAATACAAACCTCTCTTCATGCCCATCCAGCATTCCAAATTACACTCCTTGGCTGTTTCTCTCCATCATAGACCCCTTCTAAGGTACTCTCTAAGTCTGTGAGTCAATCTTCATAGACTCTTGGCACACGGGTGAGGCAGCAGTTTATTTGGTAACAACATATAATGATTTATACACGCAATTTATTATCTGACTCCACGAGGACTGGGATTATTGTTCCTTTAGTTTATTGCTATATCCCCTGTGTCTTGAACAATGGCCAACACGTGATACACGCACAAAGAAAGTGCTTTGAGTAAATAGAAATAGCTATTAATATACAATAAAAGATCACAGAGAAGGACTCGGTTTGTTAAAAATTGTTTTCTATGGTGTGCGGAAACAGAAGCCATCCCAAAAGGCCAAATCCTCAAAGACTGCTCTCCACAAAAGAAATGTAATTAAAATTCAAGTTTTGAAATTCTTTGCAATATTCCAAAAGGCACCTTTATCTGAATGACAGTATGGCGAACTCCCTGGAAGAGCGGTACTTTTGCTGCCCAAGTCCCCGGTGTGACTCTCCAAACAGTCATTTAATATAGAGCCGTGTGTTCAAATAAGAGGGAAAATGTACTTGTTCACTGTTCAGTTGTTAGAAAATAGCTGGAGAGAAGAGGAGATTTCTGTACCCCAGTGAGATGCAGCGGAGCCTCGGGAAGCAGAAGGGTTGGATCGACAGATAATGAGTTCCTGTCCAGCCTCTAATTCCTGGATTTGGGATAATCTTCCTGCAGAATCTCTCTGCAGCCTGGCTTCAGATTTCTTTATTTGTATTCAGCTCTGTTTATCTCCTCTGAAATGTCTAAAAAGGCTTACAGGAGTGGTTCATTACTAAGAATACCCCACTCTTGTTAAAACTGATCACAAACGTTGCTAAGTGTGAAATACTTCTCTATTGTTCCCATCAGCTCTTGAAGAGGAGCCAGAATTGACCCTCCCACTCCGCCCAGTCTCAACAGCCTTCCCATCCCTCCAGAGACCCTGAACATCAAGGCTCTGCCCAATATGGCCTAGCCATATCTCTCATTTTACAAACTGTGAGTGTGGATCCTCTGGCCCTTTTACTGACAGTGTTTCTTTCCAATCTACTCACTGTGGAACGGTTGCGCCCTGTGTCTAAGAGATTACCGGTATTAACAAGACAGGAACTGGTTTGTCTTATAGGTATCAGATCTGCCCACTAAAGACATGGAGGTTCGGGGCACAGCCGAGTGAGCAAGATCTCTGGAGGATGCGATAATACACTGACAGCTGTCTGAAGCTACTTGTCTGCTCGCCGACGCAGGCGTTTATATGCACACTGGAACAGGATTTACAGTAATACCTTGACAAAGTTCAGTTGTGAAGACTTTCTGATCACTTAACCATTCTGCTGAGAACCTGAGTCTTCAGCCAATCTGTAAAAGGACATTAGAAATTTAAGTCTAGTCAAACCTCTAGCTCCAAATGGTAGGGTGGGTTCTCTGCCCTTTTACTGTAAGTTTCTTTCCATTCAACCCATTTCATAAAAAAAAACAAAAAACAAAAAACAAAAACACGTTATGATTATTAGCATCAGTAAAAATCAGGCTCCTTTTTCCATTTTGCAGGCCCCAGGTTCTGGGCAACATATATTCATTTTAGCAAGCAGATTGTTAGTTTGAATGAACTATCTCGGAATGATAGTACGCACGTTGGTTGGATAAGGTATAGAACATTGTTCTCTTCTTTCCCAACTCTTTAAATAAGAAAAAAAATTGATTTAACAAAATATTTTGCAAATATTCAGATATAATTGTCTTTTAAGATATTAGTTGATTATATTACAGGATGTGTGCAAATCTTTCAGTGTTTTACCAGTGAATGCATGAGACATACTCTCTCCCGTCCACTCTCATGTACTGAACACGTCTTCTGTGCAAGGCATTGTCAACATCCTAGGAACGCAATGCTAAACGACAACACAGTCCTCCCCTTTAAAAACTTGGTCTAATTAAGGTGACAGTTGAGCAAATACAAAGGCTGAGCTCTGTTCAGAAAGGGACCTTCCAAGTCACTCTTACACGAAGCAGAAATTCCCAACCTAGCAAGGAAATGGAGGGCCTTTGCAAGTAAAAGTTCTGAAAAAAAAATATGGTGTATGAACAGAAATTTGAATGATTATAGAGTTTATGGGGCCAGTTGGTGTAAAAACCACCAAGAGTATTCTGGAAAAAGGAGATATGCACAAAAGTCTAGAAGTGAGAAGGAATTTGAGCTATTTTGGAAGTAGAAATGGACATGGCTGTAACTTCAACTGGAAAAGTCTTGTAACCAAGTAGTTACAAAGCTATGCCTCCTCCCAGAAGTCTTCTGTGACAAACCAAGGCGTTCAGGATTAATTCTAGGAGGAACAGAGAGCTAGTGGTGGGGTTCCATTGAAGAGAGACAAAATGTATTTCAATGACCTTTTAAATAAATGGCTAAATCAGAAGAGCCTCTGAATTATAGGTGTTCCAGAGAGTAACCAGCTATGAAGAGGTAGTATTCTACAGTATGAAATCAAAGGAGGCTTTAAATCAGCATTTTAGCCTTCAAAACACTACAGGAGATCACTAATCTCATTGAATGGCAGCCCTTGACAAGGTTTTCATTCCGAATGAGCACAATACAAGTATTATTAATTTTACGACAGAACTAGTAATCTGTGTTGGGGTGGGGGGAATCTGAATTTAAGTTGAAACTATGACTTTCTTAGTTCAAGTAGCTGCAGTAGACTATCAATGGAGTATCTAGGTACTCTCAGTAGACTATCAATAGACAAACAACAGCTTACCAAAATACCAACTACTGTAAGACAATCACTGACCTAATGAAATAAAACCTCCAAGATTTTGTTCTTGGAAAAGCAGCTTCTAGGTAAAGAACAATCAAAACTGAGGTGCTCCTAAGCCCTCTTCTAAGCTCTGTTTTCCCTTTGTATCTTTAATCCAGTTATTTACTCAGTGTTCCTCCAAAAGAATATTAATACCCTTCTTACACATCAGCTACAAGAATACAATAAACTCTCCATAGACGAGTCTCCGGCATCATGTTACTTTTTACTTGCAAGTGAAAATTAAGCAATCAAAACATAGTAGGAATTATTAGGGAGAAATGGAGTGGAAGGCAGGGTACCTGGCCAATATCTTGGTGTAGAGACCATGATAAGAGTTTAGAAAAAAGCCTTTGTAACTGACATTGAAGCTTAAGGTTGAGGTGTTAAAAGATAGTGCAGGTGAAAAGAAATCCCTGTACGAAGGCCTGAGGGCAAGCAGTGGCATTTAGAAACAGACCTCCAGCTTGGGTACAGGATGAGGGGGCATGCTGAAAGCCCCAGGGGCGTGCAGCCCAAAGGTGGGCTTGCTTCCTTGTGAGGGTTTCTTTCATCTTTCAGCAGAGTTCACGTGGGGACGACTTTTAAAAACCACCAAACCTTTAGGTTCTGACCTGTGGACTCCTGAAAGCATTTATATAATAAACATGAGGCGATTGTATTGTTTGGCAAGGACGGTGTGCGTGTTGGCAAGATGAGAAAACCTGCTCCGAATTCTAAGAACAGCGAACACCAGTCTCCGGCAACACAAAACTTAAATGACATGAATCCTTCTGCATATACTGCCTGCTCAGAAATGCTATTCCCTTGTGATTTTACTTCTCAGGCCCCGGCTGGCCTCGGAGGTGAAGGCACCATGCTACCATTCACTTGTGACTTCATAACCTGGCAGAGACCACTGCCTTGTTGTTTATACTCTGTACCTCCCCCATTGGCACAGTGGAGGGGGGTATTTGCTTCTTCAGTGACATTACTCAGGGATCAACATGTCAGAAATAGCTTGGAGCTATATACAGTAATGACTGTGGCGTTCACAAGAATTATACCCATAATCACTATGACTTACCCCATCACATTATCTATGCTTTATATTTTCATGTGCATTTGGCCTCCATTATTCCTTCTGACAATATTGTAAAGTATTATCATCATGATTTTGGCAGATAAGGGCTCTAAGCTCAGAGAGGCTAAGTGTGACTTTTCTTGACCCAATCATTTAATATAGCTTCTCATTTTCTAAAGAGTTCTCTACAAAGGCTGCCTGCCAGCCAGCAAATGTGGTGAAAAGCTTGTATTTTAAGGTATACTTTCAGTTTCTCTTAAACAATGTTCAGAACTCAGAGGTACGTGGGCTTTTACAACCGTAGACCCGTTCATCAGTTTCTATCTTTTTGGCCTTTCAAACATATTTCAAGTTGTGGTGGCAGGGTCTCCTCGGAATACTGACAGCCGAGGGGCGGCTCCCATCACTTCAGTGATGAGGACCACTTCTCCACCACGCATCCGCCCATCTATGCTCACAGTCCTAAAGGGTCAGCTTCCCATTTTCCTAATAATGGCAACCTATCTCTGGCTCAATGCAAGTACATATGATAATGCTGATCACCCCGGTGAACAAATAACCAAGTTTCACTTGTTTTTAAAGCAAAATAGACTCAGACAAGGCAATACTAGGATCAAAAAGGTCAATTTACACCGTCCTAAAACCTGCCATCAAAAAGCATTTGTTCAACAAATTGGATAGTTTCGGAGTATGGCACACACTGCAGACTGTGATATAAAGTGATTGACATCTTTGGCACAATGAACAAGGGAGAGGCGTGTAGCTAAACCTTTGCCAATATCCTTTCCTGGAAAAAAATCAAGCTGTGAGGGAAGCAATGGTGCGTGTGTATAATGTTTTTAAAAACCCGAAATCCGCTTTCCCCGGAGTAGAAACTTACAAGTTCATCAACAAGGATGGTATTGTGTCTTAGCTAGCCGACTTGGCTTTCTAATGAGCTCAAGAGAAAAGGGAATACCGTCTTTCCAAGGGAACGCTCTTTAGTTCTTTGGTATTTGTACATCTCACCTGGGCCTTTCGGTTACAAATCCACCTCCTTAAGGAGCCCTGTGGGGGGGGGGG